ATGAATTGAAAACATAATGAACAGTGAAATGCATTAAACTAGATTTTATTTAATAGATATATTTCTTCATCTGCAACATGCTGCCACAATCAATCCCTTTTGTAGGATTTTTTATGTCATTAAATTTGACATTAACATAACAACCAACCGAATCATAACATACAATAACATATAACATAACATAACAGTAGGAATGATGATCACAGAATAATATTTGTAGCGCTTTTCTCTCATTTTCCCATTTCCTGCTGTAGCTCCTTTGTACATAATGAAACCTTTGCAGTTCAGGAGCCTGTTTTACATGAACACACACACACACACACACACACACACACACACACACACACACACACACACACACACAGAGCCAAAACAAACTAAATCTATTAAAAACCAAATATCCCAAAAGCTCCTAGTTTTTATTTTTCTGTCATTGCCTCTCTCTCTCTCTCTCTCTCTCTCTCTCTCTCTCTCTCTCATGTGGCCTGCTTATCTCTTGCCCAGCGGAGACAGAAGATGAGATCAATTTTCAGGATCAGACCTTGATTAAATATCGACAAGGCCTGGCTCTCCCTCAGAAAGCAACTCTTTGATCACCAGATGAAAAGCTTTCAAAGTACCCATCATTGTCTCAAATCAAACTTATTAAAGTTCGGCGTGCATACTGCCGAGCCCTAAAGCACACAAAGGTCCAAAATTACACCCCTTTGTAATGTAATTGTAGGCATTCAATACATTTTCAGTGTTTTCAGAGTCCTTGAAGCAAAACATGATTGCAGATAGTAAAAAGCAAACTTATCTTTCCATTATCAGGCTATTTAAGTTTTTTTTTCTATTCTTTTTTCACTTAGCATGAATAGTGGCGCTTGAAATTAGACTTCAGTTGTCTATGACTGAATGCCTCTCAAAGCCTCTTAAAAGAAAAAATCTACAAAGTTTCACTAAACTGAAGATCTTTGCAAACTTTTCATGATCCAGTGAAGAGACAGGCATACTGATATTTTTAAGCATTTTTCACACAAAGAGTACGATGCTGAAGCTTTTTTCCAATTCAGTATTTTAACTCTGCCTCGGTTTAGTGGTACATCCTTCCCTTCTGCTTTTCTTGGGGCAGTTTTATAAACATTTGGTATTCATGTACTCGTGGAAATCTCTGGCAAGGTGTTTGCCAAGGAGAACTTGTTTGTGCAGCTAAGCAGGACCACCAGTTATCAACACATTCAAGGTACATTATGCCAGATTTTCTATAGTGTGTTATAATACTAAACTTTAAAGGACACCTATTAGTATCATGGAAATCATTCTGACACTTCTAAAAAATAATAATAAAACAAAAAACTACCACACCAATACAGCCTTCTGGCAAAAATCAGCCATATTTGGGCGAGAAGATAAATGCAACTAATAGTTAAATATTTAACTATAATAGTTTTTTGTGCTGATGCAGATTGGGGCATGTAAAATGTGCTCTGGTATCTTTTCATGTAGTTAATCATGTCGTAGTTTTTTAATATGTCTTTAACACTGTAAACCTATACAATTAGACCAATAATAATGAAGTAAACTAGCAAAGTAGTTTTGGTAAAAGCCAAATGCAAAAATGATTTTATACAATTCCCAAAACCTAGTTTTTGTTTGTTTTGAGCCACCACCGACTCAACCATCTTTCTGTGTGGATTTTGTCACCCTCTCAAAAACTTACGCAGGTAAGAAATGGGTAAGCAGTGATAGGAACGAAAACAATATGAGAATTTGACTGAATGACCTTTTGTGAGCACTTGCAGTAAAATTTCATAGGGCACAAATATAAGCTGAAAGCACTGCCTGGCTATAAAGTCATCAGTCTAAAAATTGATGGTTTGTTTTGAGTGAGGGCAAATGTAATTAGCACACAATTTGCTCTTAATGGGCCACAACCTGCAAAGCCACACCATAGTCCATTAAGGACCCTTAAGCAACCTACTAAGGGACTATGGAAACACTCTGTGATCCCACAGCGTCACTCTGTCTTAGAAAAAAAAAACATACTTTGTAAACATCGCATCTAATACGTTTGTTTCCAATTTACTATTCTCAAAAAAGATCTGTGTGTAGCCTCCAATACAGAAGTTACTCCACACTTACAGTCTCATTACTCATAACATCACCAGTTTCTGTTTCTTGGCTGTTTTTTCTGTTGTCAGCTGCACTGGCTTTCAGAAAAACTGCAAATGTCAAGTGATCTGTTGCAGCACTCTTAACTCGTCTGAGCTTTACCTAAGTGCGTCACTCTCTCTGTAAAGACACCAGTTGAAGCTCTTCTGTCAAGTGGCTGATTTCTGTTAAGACACCGATCCTTTAGTTTGGCAGGGCTAATTTTCACAAAAACTATATGAAACGTCAAAAGCTGACAATTCTTCAACAGTCACACCAAATCCACGCAGGGTTTGTCCCCTTTCCTTTTGAAAATCACCAAAGCCAAAACAAGGAGAGACTGTCCACAATGAAAATTTTAAAAAGTTTTTTTTTGAATGTCAAACTGATGAGCATCTCTGAATGCACATCAAATTGAACCTTGGCAGGCGAAGCCCACACCAGGTGCCACTCCTATCAGCTAAAAACAGGAAACTGAGGGTACAAATCACTGGATTCACCAAAATTGGACAACAGAAGATTGGAAATACATTGCATCCATTCAAAATATGATTTTCTAGGGAGAGATACAGTCTTTCATTAAAAAACACAAATACTCTTTTTGCTGCAAGCAACTTACTTTGTTATATTAACTGGTATTTAAGGGCAATAAAAATACCTAAAAATGTCTAAATACAAATAATACACAGCTTAATGTCTTTCAGATGGACTATACAGTATATTTATCTTCAAATGTTTTAATGCCAAGCAAACCAGTTTGGAGGAGCGTGGAAGCTTCAGAGGATCTAATGCACCCTGGTGAGCACAAACGTTCCAAATTCACAAAGTAAAAATAAAAGGCAGCTAAACTACTTCTAGCTCCAAGTCACTACCGGCAAACACACACACACTTGTACGCATACAGAGAGAGAGACAGAGCCAAAGGGAGCAGAGGGGCCCAGGGAGACAGATTGTCTTTTAATTGGTTGAAAACTGCAGAGCTCTGAAAAGGGCTGAAGGGGACACACACACACAGCAAACATACACACACAAATCACAAAATGTCCTCTGTGATAGTGAGGAGACGTAGCCAGTCCCTGCTGACTGACTGGTATAATGAGCTGAACTCAAGCCAAAACTTGTGTGTGTCTGTGAGTCTTTGTGTATCTGTTTGTGCTGATTGTGGGTGTGGTAACCTGCTGACAGAACGATGGTTCAATGATAGAGTGGATTGAGGGTCAAGAGAATGTAAATGTGTGTCTTTTGAATGTTGCTCTGCTTACCGGCAAACAATAAATAAAGTCAGAACAATACAGGTTGATGAAGGCTGATACGATTTAATATTTCAATACCTTTTCTTCCTTTAGGGGTTGCCAGAGCAAATCATCTGCCTCCATCTCACTCTGGCATCCTCCCCTGTTCCTCAAATCCTCTGCATGTCCTCTTTCATCACATATCATCTGTAGTTTTAATATTTTTCCTCCTGCCTAGCAGCCCCATCTTCAGCATCCTGTCCTATATATCCAGTATCCCTCCTCTGTCCATGTCCAAGCTGCTCAACCTGAGCTGTCCCTCTGATACACTCATTTCTAATCCTGTCCATCCTGGTCTTCAACTTCAACTCTGCCACCTCCAACTCATCCTCCTGTCTTTTCCACCATGTCCTGAATACACATTATAGGAGGTCTCACCACCATCTTGTAAACCTTCCCCTTCACTCTTGCTTCTACTGTTCTGCAAGAAATTCCCCCAGACACTATTCTCCACCCACTCCACCCTACCTGTACTCTCCTCTTCACCTATACTGTTACTACAGTATGCTTTCTCTATATCCACACTCTCAAAGGATACATTATATCTTTAGTGCTTTTTCTCAGCATAAAGCCATACTACTCACCATACTATCAGCATACCACATCAGCTTGTGAGTGTATTTTTGTTCACGCTTGTTCTTAAAAATTTGTAGCAATTAACTTCCCCATTCCTCAGTTATCCCCTTACTCTCCAAGACTGTGTTAAACAGTCTGGTCAGTCTTTTGCCCTCTCTCCACACCTTCATCGCCTCTTTTGATGCCTTCACTAGCTCGACCTTATATCGTGTTGGTCTTATTCCTGGACCAATAAAACGAATGTTTGTCCAGGTTCAACATTGCAAGTGACCAGTCACATTGTAGCAATGTCATAGTTTTGCTTCATGGAAACACGTCACACCACACATCAAATCATAAAGTGGTGAACCCTAACCCACACTCTAACTTTAGCTGTAACCTCTAACCCTATCTATGATTTTTTCCTGAGTGGATATGTGTAGGTTTTTTCCAAGTCACAGAGCTATGACATCATAGCAATATAATTGTTTAGATGCAATTTTGATCCTGGAAAAACATTATCTTAATTCAGGAACAACATTAACACAAGGATGAGATCAGACAGACTGCCTCATCCTTACTAATCTCTGCACTTCATTCAGCAACTTTCCTTCATCCATCCTCTTCTCCCTCCTTTTCTTCATTCATCGGATCCTCAAAGTACTCCATCCATCTATTCTCAACACTCGCTTCCTTTGTTAGCACATTTCCATCTCCATCCTTAATCACTCTAACCTGCTGCACATCCTTTTTAACTCAGTCTCTCTACCTTGCTTGTCAATACAAGTCCTTTTGTGTCCAGTCTCACATACCACTCACTATAAGCCTTTTTCCTTTGCTACCACTCTCTTTGATGTACACCTAGCATCTCAGTAATCCTGTCTACTTTTTTCATGACTTTAATATTTAGATACAAATAACCAAAATCCTCCTAGAATTGGGATTGGGTGTGCATTACATAGCACAATTGCAGTTTTATCACTGAGCTCTACCATATAGAAGTCTCAGATGTGTGTTTACCTCTTGATGGTCCGCAGCAGAGTTGATCTGGCCTCATTGTGAAAGGTGATGATGATGGAGGTTGAAGGAAGTTCTGAGTCGTAGTGAAGAGTGGTGCACCTAAAGAAAGAGAAAAGCATTACTCAATGCTACTGGCAAGGAACCCTTTGATTTAGTAAAAGGCATGTCAAATTTTAAAATGCTGTATTAAAAGACAGGTAAACATAAACTGTTTTGAACTTTGAGTAAAAGTTAAATGAGCAACAAGTCCTCCAGCTACTCTTTTGTTCAGCTCAGCTCGCTGTCAGTTCCCAAAATATAACAAATTGACTTTCAGGCAAGACACACATTTTCAAGTTGAGTCAAAAATCAAAGGCTGTCTGATCTTGACATAACAAATCTGGCAAGAGATTAGAGGAGCACCCATGTAGCAACTGTGGTCTCCACCACCCTAGCCAGGGATAGTCAAACCTTACAGTGAGACTACTGCATCAGCTGACAGCTCAGCTCATATCCTTCTAAACCTCAAGTCCAAGCCACTTTGCAACCCAGCTCCATCCTTGTCACTCCCGTTATGCTGCGCCTGACTTTATTAATGTCATATCTGTTGTCGCTATATGTCTGCTTTGTGCTTGGGTCTTGCTGCTGTTCCCTGCCTCTAGTTTTCCATGTATCCCCAAACAAGAATGTGTAGTACCTGACAAAAAAACAATGCTACTAAATAAAAATTTCTAAAACTGACTATACTGGTAAAACACAAAAGGCTTGAATTAATGGACTTAATACAGAATGAATGTAAGTTTATTATTTAAAATATTTAAATATAAAAGAAAATTACCCCAACTATCGTCAACATGCATCAATCTTGACATTCCTTCCCAGATGATTTCTCTCGCACTCACACTATGTGATTGTAATGACCCACACCTTGAATCACATCTTGGCTCATGTAGTGGTAGCAAACTACATGAGGCATGGAGGTTCTGTGACTATCAGGACCACCCCCACGATGATAACCCCAATACGGGTTTAATATCTATGACTCCCAGTCAGTTTCCAAAACTGAAGAAGGATTTTAGATGAGAGAGAAAATGTCTTCATGAACCTAAAAAGAAATCCAACTGCTTTCAACTTAAGTGCTTAAGACTACCATGATACATGCAAAACAAGCAATTTTCTAGAATTTCTATTTAATTATTATTTTTTTGTGATGTGCTGGTATACAAACATACACTATACTGGTCAATAGTATTTGTTTCAAGGTGATTACTGTGAGACTATTTCCTATAATGTTGGCTGCTCCTGTCTTCAGGTATAACACACACACACACACACACACACACACACACACACACACACACACACACACACACACACACACACACACAGTAACCAAGTGATCAGACCAGACATGTTGAAAATGAATTATAGATGACCACCACTATGCTCATTAAAATACGTTGCAAAGTGTGTGCATGTTTGATTGCAGTGCATTCGCTGGGTCAGCAGGCTTTTCTTCTAAAAGAGAAGAGGAACGCACACACACATCACACGCACATACACACACAGACGCGCGCACACACACAGGCGCACTGTATAATGAGAAGACTGGCCTTTACCTATCAGATTGATGGATTGGTGACATTTTCCAACAGAAACAGTCTGCTTGGTCTGTTCTGGCCTTTATTTTTAAGAAGTTAACCTTTCTCGAATATGTGTGTGTCTGTGTGTTTGTGCATCTGTGTGTTTGTAGAACTAAACATACTGCACCATTAACCAGCCTAACATGTGGTTTTCTGCAGCTCACCTAATCTACTTCCATAACGTGTTTCATTATTTGTTTTGCAGAAGGCGACGAGGTTAGAATATTTAATTTAATATACCGCATACAAGCAAGAAAAATATGATTGGTTTTATCCATTTCCTTTGATACAAAACAGGAAAAAAAGTTTCCTGTTTTGTATCATTACAAGAGGATCAATACAAAATGTGAAATGTAAACGCACAAACAAATTGCCAGAAGGCATTTTTACAGATCAAAAACTAGCCATTTGACATATCATTTTGTATGTAATAAATGAAAAGCATGCTCTGCTGGGGTGAAATCTGTCTTGAGAAACTCTTGCATTGCTTCTGCATTTGTCTGAATAGGAACAAAGAGTATAGCTTTGTACACTTCATAATTCATCCATGACACATTATCATTGAACACTGTTGGCCCAGTTCTACAGGCAGTCATTCACACCCATACCATAAAATTGCCTACACCATGTTTGACAGATGATGCACTGTGCTTCACATTTCCTTTTTATACTTTTATATAAGTTCATTCCGGTTTTATTTACCCAAAGAATCTTTGGATTCTTTGAACTGTCGGACTTTTAGATGTTTTCTATTGAATCAGATTTTCTGCAAACCAAGGCGCTGTGGTTGTAAACCCATTGTATTACAACTACTGACTGTAGATGCTGACAATGACGTCCTCCTCCTGACACTCTTGAGCTACCTCCTCAAGAGTGATCTTGACTTGGTTAGGTTGAGACGGAGGTTTATTGTAGAGTCTTTACTTTACAGTATATACCGCCTCGAGGCAACTGCTGTTGTGATTTGGCACTATATAAATAAACTGAACTCCATTCAATTTTTCTTAACTATGAAATGAATTCTGTCGTCATACACTCTAGTTGTGTTCAATGGCCTTCCAGGCTTTGCTACAATTTGCCTATCCCCACTACTAACTTTAAACACTAGGTCTGCTTTATTTTCCATATTATAACATGGGAACAGGCCTCACCTCATCACAACACTGCTTGTTAGTCAATTGTCCAATTACTTTTATGTATGAAAATGGCTGTATTTAATGCAACATTTTTGCAAACCTTGAACTGAAGCTGTCTGCTAACTGCCACAACCTACCTGTTCACTGCTGCACATCTTAAATGCTTGACTTTAAATTAACTGTGGTTTACAGACAAAAAAAGGAAGCTGTATTCATTTATTTATTTCATTTAGAAAGAGGGGCAATACATATTAATGAACATTTTAACAAATATAAATATGCCAGATTATAGCCTTGGGCTAATTTCCATCCGCAGACCCTCTGGCAGGTTGGTGTTGCACACAAGTTAGTAAAAACATACAGAGACACTATTTACAGGTCAAGTGACAAGGACAAAAACAGTGATCACATTATACTAGAACAAACAATGACAAGAAGAGTGGACAACAGAGGACAATATAGATAACAATAATGGAAACACATCAATTATATTGCACAAACCCCAGTATTGCACATGCCCTGACTGTCCTGATATTGCACTGACCCATTACACTAATAGTTGTTTCCCTTTTTTGTAATACACGGACTCTTTTTCATGTTCAATATAAAGCATGATTATTAAACATGATCACATGCTTGTGTGTCCCTCAGCTGCCCTTTTAAGTGACTCTTAAAGATGGGGAGACTTGTACGTTCCCTCACTGACAGTGGAAGACTATTCCAGAAGCTCATTCCTTGATATGACAGAGCATTCTGTGAAAAGGTGGTCCGTCTAAATGTCAGTTCACAATCACCTCTCACAGTTGCTCGAGTCAGTCACTACCCGGCAACACTGCTAGACTTTTGTTTAATAAAATCACTCATTGGTGGAAGCGCCAGACCATGTATAAGTTTGTATATTTGACAAGCAGATTTAAATAATTTGAAATTACTTAAAATTTAGAAAGTTGTATTTATCTAAAATGTCTTTTTTTCCAGCAACTCGTTGACTCAACAGAAATATGTTGTATTGTGTATATAATTCATATTGTAACACAGTATTAAAATTAAAAAGTGGTTAGTCACATATTATATAGGCAGTTCACATAATTTTCTCCAAGCATGTTCATATCATAGTGCTCAAAAATACAGAATTTTATTGTAGCATAAGTACAAATATTCACATTTCCCAGCAAGACAGATTGGGGAGCTCCTTCCTGTTGCTGCCCAACTTTGTAGTTCAAAAAGATAAGATATATATATTCCTCACAGAAAAATCTAAGGGAAGGAGACTTTTCTACTTCCCTGACATATGAAAAACGAAGACACCAAAAGCATGTTGCCTTACTGTGATCATACCAAATATTTTTTTCATACCACAAAACATAAATATGTCTTCTGATATAAGTTTCTTTGGAGCTTATCTGTGTTTCTGTATTCATGGCTTATCAAACACGATGCCAGTCTGAGTTTCTTGGGATTTATTCACTAAACATAAACTCAAAAACATTGTTTCCAACCTTCCAAGATCACATCAGTCGGGTCATGTGTAATTATTCAGGAACACATTCAACAACAATGAATATCCAATGAGCTGAGTTTTTGTATTAGCAGACCGCATGTGCCACATTTCCACTAGTTTGTGAGCTCAACTCAGTGTGCATCATCTAAGTGTCCTTGAGCTAAACATTGAACCTCCTCTTGAGATCTGCAGTGGGTTAGAACACAAGCTCAACTCCTAATTTGTTGTATTAACAGGTCGGCACGCAGCATCAGTCAGCGCGCACGAGCACCCGGCTGTGAAATAATACCATCAGCACCTCATTAACTTGCAATTTGATTTTTTTTTCCTTTTTTGTTTGGAGGCACAGAGATGAAGTAGGGAAACAATATTTCCAAAGGAGATTAGAGAATTTGTCTACCCATGCATTCCTATCTATGCATGTATACTTTAGTTGTTTTTCCTCCTTTATTCTTTTATTTATTCATCACTCTAACATTGTTACAGTCTGCTTTGGTTTTCCCTTACTTTTATGGTTCCTGTTTTTCACACAGTTTGGAGCACCTCTGAGTTTTCTATCCTTGTTTTTTGTTATTAGGTGTTTTCTGGTTCTCTCAGTTATGTTCTATGGCTGTTTCTTTCTGTGCGAATTTTTCATTTCTGTGTTCAGCGTCCTTCTCTTGGCATTTCCTCTTTTACTTTGTTAGTTAGTGTCCCATTTGTCTTTTATCCTGTTCCCTAAACAATATCTAGTCCTCTCTTATCCTTGTCTATTGTCTATTGAGTGTTTATAGGGAGAACACACAGGGAGTGTGTTCTCCCTATGTGCTCTTTGCTCATTTATGGGGTTTCTTGGATTTG